CCGACTGAGTCAGGAAAACGAATCGAGCAAAAATCAAACGAAGAAAAACATAGAACATCAGAAAATCCACAAACGTTGCATTTCTCTTTATATTTATTAGAGTTTCTAACTACTGATAAAAACTGATGGCTTAAATGATAAAAATCCAAAATAACCACTTGTCGTTAAGTCGTCCGTTTCCTTTCGTCTAAAATTATGTCGTTATTGGAATCAATAATGAACTGGTTTCAATTCGAATATCGTTTTCACATTGAGTATCTATATATCTGCTATCCGCTCCTTCGATTATTGACGGTCGTTAATTCTGAATTATTCACTTTGAAATTATACATAAAATCTCGACAATGGAAAAAATTCTTCGAAACATGTCCATAATGCACGATAATTGATAAACTGATCTCAGGTAAATTCAAGTGCGTGAAAATTGGAAAACCTCAAGAAAATGTGGCAAAAACTATGCAATCTTGACGTTAACCTCAAGATTATGATAGCATTCCGATCACTAATTGACTAATGAAGCTACGGACTCATCGACGAGAATTTTCTTTATCATAGCGATCGTTGCTCTTCTTATACAGACAAGTGTGGATTGGCACTGTTGGTTGGAACAAAAATCAGAAAAAAACCACAAATTAAAAAAATCACGTTTTGTATTGCGTTACCCTTGACTGCCAGCCGATTTCCTTANTGCGAATTCAGTATGAACACTTCATTGGAAGCAGTGATATTTTTGGTAGTAAGCATTTCGCCAAGGATCTCTAATTGTAAGCCTGTAGGGTAGGTATGAGCGATTGACAGCTGGTAATAACTAATTGTAAATTCAACGTCGTTTCTAACTCTGAGAACTAGAAATCAACAGGGAAAGATTTATGAACCTTTGCTTTCCTATGGACTTTCAACTGGATGAAACGATGGAACCGAGGACACGGAACTGAACTACAGGGATAACATCAACTGACAATATTATAGCAAACTACTTCCCTGTGATGTTTCATATTTTCCATTTTGGGTCAATCGAATCGGCTAGTTTATACGAAAATCAGTGTTGTTGATATTGAGAATTGGATCATTCGTCAGTATCTGATGATTCCTACGATATGGTCTCACCTTACCCCACTTAATAAGTGAAGATATTTCGTGAGCATAAAGCCTTCCAACCTGATCAAGCATTTTTAAAAGTCGAAGCAATAGAACACGTTGACGTTCAAGAATAAACATTTTATTATATACAGATATCATTGGATACACATATTGGATCGTTATGATATGAACGTACACAATGATAAGATAACTTAGACGATAACCTTCATGATCCTTTCATAATCTGTGGGCATTATACTTTTGAGGTGTATCAGTTGCAGTTACATTCTTGAAATTATACTCGTGTTATATCTCACTATCAGTGGTTAGTTCTATCACTGAACTGAAATCGGGAGTCCCACTGACTAAACAGTGGGAATCTTGACAAAATCGACGGAAACTATTAAAGAATTCATGATAAATTAAGGAACAATTAATGACGTGACATCAAAACTTCCAACTACGGTTCATCTCAAAACATTGGTACAGTCGCATAGATCATGGATCAACTACGAATCTTAGTGATTCATTTATTGTCGAGTTGCGCCCTGTTTATTCTCCCAAGGGAAGAAGTTACCGAAACCACCGAATATACTCGAAGCACCATTTTTACGTCTGTATTCTTTTGCCTCAGCTTGGAATCGATTCTCTTGAAGCCGTTCGAATGCAGCACATTTCTTGTCTTTGAAGATGTTTGGCAACTGAAAATGTATCAAAAAATTCAAAGATGTAAATGATTCAAAGTAACTCAAAAAAAAGATTCTTAAATATTTTCATTCCAATGAGTGCGTCTTGCTAAGTGAACGTACCGAATTCGCTGTGGTGGCTGCTTCGAAAAGAAGATTTGTTTTCACTTTAGCACCTTCAATTTCATAGTCTACCACTGAGTGTTCACAGGCCAACAGACGATCCGGATTCCGTTTGGAAACCCAATATTCCAACAGCTCTGAATTGGTTGGAGTGTACGAGCCTTGCTGAAATTCAATCAGTTATCACTTTAGGGTCACTTGTCGCTTCCAATCACATTTATCACTCCTTATCACTTCGATCAATTCTATCAGTTCACATCTTCTTGCTTCAGCTATCGTCACATATTTTCATCCAAAAAATTACTTGTTCTTTTTTTTCAGAACATTTCTTTTTCAATATTTTAATGAATTTTCAAAATGATCTGTTGCAATGTAGTTGTCAAGTAGAGGAGACTTTTGAATTTCTGAAATGAGCGGAAATTTTGCTGACAATGAGAGAAAATAATTGTTGGAAAAATTTATAGAAATATATTCCCANCTGTTCGCTGCCAGCCATTCGCCAATCATTGCCAACTTGAACGCTTTACCCAACAACGGATTGTCGATACTTGCGAAAAATTCTTTTTCTAACTGAAACACAAATATGAAGTTTTTTAAAAAATCTTCAAACGAAAGTAAATACTTCATGAATCATTCAGCCGCTTTCTTTTGCTGATACATTTACAACAGTGTATCTGTCACATTGAAAGGGTGGTAATCTGAAGACTTCAAATTTTAAAATGATTATATTTGCCAAAGAGTGTAATTTTCATCGAGCTGAACGCCTCAACTCATCAACCCCGTTGTCATCACATTAGAACTGTTATTAAGTATATATTTGTGGTAGATTTATACCAAATTCTTTCGAGTTCGATGCAATATGCTCATAGGTAATTCACTTCAGCTCGTTGAGCAGTACACAAACAAAGTGAATGAGTGAATCTCAAGCAGAGACATTAAAATGGAGTGAATTCGATATAATGTAAATGAATATTAGGTTGAAAATCTATCTCTATTGTTTTGAGGTAATAATAGTCCGCATTAACTGTCTTTTTAAATGAAACATCACTGCTTACAATTGGGATGAAATTTTTTTAAGACTATGCAAAAGATATGAAATTCCTGACAATAGTAAAAATCGCTCGCGCGCATCCAAACATTATGCGATTTAGTGAATACCTCAGCACGTGTGTCGCCTCTCTCGTAGAATTTCATCCAGATGTCAATGGCGCCTTGTTTCTGCCAATAGTCTTTTTGCCATACTGATTTCGAGAACGCCGAACACATCGTGAAATTTGGATCCTCGGGTGGTGGGCAAAGTTTTACAGTCAAACGATAGGTGCGCTCATCAGTGGCACGACATAGGTTTCCGTCCGTGTTCTCCAACAATTTCAGCTTCCTAAAAGACGTCTATTGAGATTGAACCAGGCATTTAAATATTCATCGAGTCCTGGATGAAAGTAGATTCTGTAATCCTATCAAGTCCTCAAGATTTCAGGCACTATTATCTTATTAAATCCCAACGATCTCAGCCATTATTTATTAAGTTGAAATTTCAATGCCCTACTATCTTAGTAACTTCGACTCCTTTCAAACCAAAGGCTTAAATGAAGCTCATGTGCCCAAGCTTGAAGTAAGATGACCTTGTGTTCTTGCACCAGTCACAGTAAAAGCATTCTCGGCCGCAGGTTGCCACATCCATGCAACGTAATTTGCCGATCGGTTGCACCATAACATCAAGTTTCATTGCGAGTCGGTTTATGTGCACCTCTTGAAAACAAATACTGATTATCTTGAACGAAAAATGACACAAATATGTTACAGATGAGATCATAACAGTCATGCCTATGCAATTTTACTTTTACGTTTCGAGTCAGCTTAAAGGCAACCATGAATTAATGAGTTCAATTAACCTGTTGAAGCTCAAGCAGTTCAAAGGAAGCATCAATTAAATCACTGCATGAAAAATAACAAACTCTCCAACAATTCAAATTCTCACCAGTATCATTACCATTATGGCACTGGCCAAATCCGAGACAGAAAGTAATGACGATATCCGAGCCTGGCCAATTTGAGGTTAAAAGAAAGAGAATCTGGGGAAGGGATTTGGGATTTACATTAGGTAATGGATGCAAATTACAAAGAATGACAACGAACTTGGTGGTAAAGTGACATCAATGGACATATCGAAACAATCCGGCCAAGTCAACTTCAGCGTGCCATCGCCTTCACGTTCCGATGAGTGGTGGAAGGATGGATTGGCGACTTTAATTGGCTCAATGCATGGTTGTCCGTTGACCTCTCGACAACATGCCGACGTCCGTGCGTCTTTCAGTTTTGCGATGAACAAATTCTTACTTATCACTGCCTGCAAAAGACGACAGTAATCGGAATCGGGACTGAAATATTCCGGAAGTCGAATGACGAAATTGTTCGTAAAATGAGCGCTTGATAAAGATATGGAGAATTCGGATTCGTTGCTAATTTTCAACCGTCTTGAATAATGGAAGGTGATCGATTAAACTTTCATGGAAGCTATCTTAAACAAGCACATCAAATTCATGCCTTTCAATCATTTCCGTGTGTCTTTTAGTTTCAAAATTGAGACTGTAAACTGTTAAAGTGCTGGAATAATTCAATTTCCAAGAGATCAATCTGCCTAGAAATTGCTGATCAACAGATTGCTTCTCCTGATCAACTGATTGCTGCTCCTGCGATCAGTCTGGTTTAAGACAGAATAGCCTGTTCACGACGGTCCATCCGGAGGTCAGCGCATTTGACTCTCTGGTGGAACCATGAACTGATCTAAAAACCTGATATGAACCTGATATGAGCGATCACCCAGTTTTTGCACTGTACCCGTTGCGATTGGTACATCTTTGTCATTGTATATAACCGTATTACCGGTCTTGTCAGCCACTACTTTACCCACACTTCGTCCTTGTGCATCGTAACATTGAGAAATACCCGGAGTTTCGGCTGAAATATGGACAACACATAGACCTATCACATTTGAAAGCGAATTTTTTCGGAGAGCAATGAAGGAATTTCGAATCGTGGATGAAAATTTTAAGACTCATGAATAAAACTGAATAAAATGGCATGATCTTTGAGATCATAGTTTCACTGATTTCATTTCTTTGGCGGTGGATAATTGTAGTCATAGAAATAAATTAAGATCACCGAACCAGTGCAATGATATTTTTC